AAGCTTGCCAACGAACCTGCTACATGTGGTGCAATAACGCTGCACCTACTCTCCGATTCGTCGTCGATTGAGAACGGGTTGTAGGGAGCGGCTGCTGCTTGCTAGCGGCGGTATGTCCTACTAGCATACAGGAATATGTGCATTCTCTCACACTCCAGTACCCGTCACGGGTAGAATGCCAGGAATTGCTGTCCGCGCACGAGAACATTCCGTACTCGGTCTATATTCGTTCTCGATGCTTAGACTATATACACTTTCGTGAGACGGGGACTGGACTAGCTAGGGTAGCGGATAGGCGCATGCCAAGGGCGCGACATGGTTTTCGCAGGAGATTTCGTGACCACGAGTAGCAGGTCGCCTTGCAGCTACAGGCAAGCTGCAGTCCATCTCGTGTCTCATCCGCTTACGTTGTGCATCGCTATAGATGTTGTGATAGCCTAGATTGATGCTTGACGTGTCCGGCAGCAGAACGTTAGAACGATCCCTGGGCGAAAAAGGCGAAAACGTGGCCATATATATATATATATATATATATATATATATATATATATATATATATATATATTATTATATATATTTATTTATTTATTTGTTTGTTTATGAATAATAAGAATCCAGTAAACAGCGAAAGCTGTGAGACTACGCAATTCATATTGGAATAAATGTTGGTTAAAATTTTGGTATTGAAATGAAACCCGATTTGTTATTTTTTTAGAATGTTCCGGTTTAAGGTTTAATCACACAATGATATAGTTACGGAGCAGAGGTTTGCAATGTATTTTATCCGAGTATTTTTTAACAAAATGGTAAAGTGTATACGATTTATGCACAAGGGGTACTACGTCGCAATAGCAATGATATAACCAATCGTGCAGGGGCACGTGCGTTAATGTTTATTATTCACTTCGCTGTCTATTATGATGACGCTTGTAACTTTTACACAAATTACTGTGTGTTTTTTTGGTAACTGTAAACTTATATTGGTACAATATAACTGTAAGCTGTATGCATGCCGTGTTCCATAGCTCGCAGTCGCGGTTCCGGGCGAAAGAGTGTGCTGGAGGCACAACATCGTGCTTCATAGTTCCGAAAATACACCGACAGAATAATGTATCAGTGCCGTGTACTATATGTACCTATAAGAATAATCCTTTCGCTCTAAATACGACGAAAAGAGTCAGCGTCGGAGTAAATTCGATAAGTAGTAGGCCTACCCCGTCTGCTTGCGCTGGCTTGTCATTTGATTCACCGCGCTGGCCGGCCTTCTGTTTTTGAGCGCACACACACACGCGCGCGCACACACACACACTCTATCTCGCAAACACATGCACACGCACACACACACACACACACACACACACACACACACACACACACACACACACACACACACACACACACACACACACGGCCTGCTTTCTACGTGCTGACTTCGCGTGGCATTGGCTAACGCGGGGCCGTCCAACGAACAAGGATGTCCGCCCGTCCGAGCATCGTAGCGACCAGCATGCTAACGTGTTTCTCACGAACTGGTCACTTCATTGTCCAGCGACGAGCAATATGTACGTACTACAAAAACACCCTTGTTCTGCTAGCATCTATGACAAATACGACATACGCATATACGCTCTCCTATGACACTATTTGTCAGGAATATTCTTCCTATGACAAATATTGACGAGTCAACTTCGTTCCGCTTTACAGCTCAAATTCACTGCTTGCGTTCATAATAGCGCTCCTAAACTCCTATGATGCGCGCAACACATACAGCAATATTTGTCATAGGAAGAATCATCCTATGACAAATAGTGTCATAGGAGAGCGTATATGCGTATGTCGTATTTGTCATAGATGCTAGCAGAACAGGCTGACAAGAAGCAGCCACACATAGCTGCCTCGTTCATCTGCATACACCATGACAGAGCGAGCGACTTTGCCGCAGGTGGCGCACACACCGAAGGGCGTCCTCGTCGCGTCGTCGATGATTTGCGACTAAGGTCTGATTTGCGACATACACGTACGCGTGACACAGTGACAGCATTGTTCTACTCATCGTCGCGAGTCACTGTCATTTTAATTGGCAAAACACGGCAATCTGCACGCAGTGGTCTCTCGCGCGCGAAGAGTATATGTGCTTGGATTTAATATAGAAGGTTTTCATGAATTATGTATTTAGGATGCGATAAGGGAATTCGCAACCCTTTCGTCTAGTTCGAATAGTAGTTGTAATAGTTCGCTTTACCTGTAATTGACGAGATGGGTGTCCATGCTTGTGATAGCTAGAAAAGCAAAACACATATAAGCCGCATTACTTATTACTTACAATGTTACTTGCATGAGTATTAGAGTACTTTTAAAAATAAATTCTTACAAATGAAATTCAATGAAGCGTTATAGCTATTTAAGTGTTTAGTAAACACATTTCGATTTCCCCTCTAAAACACAGAATGTGGTTGGGCAGCCTAAGCACAGGCTATTATTATACAATTCAGCGATGTAACAAAGGATATTGCTAGAATTTTTCGATTTCCATACTTATAACATGAAATCATAAAATAATTTACCTAAAATACCCAAGCGCCATATAAATCTATTAACATTATGAGTCTACATATTACCAATTACATTATCGCAAAACATGGGAAAAAAATTAAAGAAATAAATGCAAGGTTTTTGTTTAGTTTATTTTTTTAGTACTATGACTTTAGATTATTGACACAACCTCACGAGTGTTTAAACGGTTAAGTTACATAGATTGTCTTTCAGCGTGAGGCTGGGCTATATTCTCTGCGTTTATAATGGAACGCTTACTCTAGCGATGGCTGGCTTTTTACATTATTTAATACATAGAAGTTATAGACGAGCGAGGATTGAGAAATCGAAGCCAATCACGATGAGCAGACACGAGTCAGCTGTTTTAGTAATGACATCCTCGATAATAGGCATGTTCAAATCGACTTTAACTCAATTCTGTTCTTTGTCAGAGATTGGGCCAGCTCACCTGATTTTAATGTAAAATCAATGTTTAATAACTTTAAGCGTCAATTTCAGCGCATAGGCCTACTTGTGACGGTTGCAAAATGATCCCGAATTTCAATAGCAGACGTAATTCTACTGGGCGGGTCTGGCTACTGCATGATGACTAGACAAAAATCCTAGATTGATTACAAAGGCAAAGCGTAAAAATGCCAGTTCGATATAGATTTCAATTGTTTTCTGTTGTTATTACTCTTCTGCGTGTTGATTAATCAATAATCGATTCCTGCAGGAGCTAGAGATTTCTCGTTAAGAAATGAGCAAAACACGTTATGTAAATATCTAAAAATGGCGCGTAATAATTGTATAGGACATGTTATATGTGGTAAAACAAGATGTAGTTGGAGCGGTGTGGGGGCGGCAAAAACATTTATAGAGAGCACCTTCAATGCCCAAATATGGCGCTACTGTGTAATGAGATCATATATCCTTCTCCCGCTCCTTCGGTTCTGAGAACGCGAATGATCCTGTCTTACTGTCAGTGCGTGCATGCTCATCCCCGTATTTGCAGACGCCTTAGCATTAGTAAGACGCATAGTATTCGCTGGCGGGCATTGCCCATTTGAGTCACTCATACACGTAGCAGGTGGAGCTTGTTTGCCCATAAAGGCACGGCCTCGCAGAGGTGTACGCCTTTAGCCTCCGGGTTTGTCTTTATCGCTTTCTCGCTCTCTCTCTCTCTCTCTCTCTCTCTCTCTCTCTCTCTCTCTCTCTCTCTTTCTTTCTCTATGATTTTTTCTCTCTGTGTGTATACATATTTCTCTCGCACACTCGCTCGCTCGCTTGCTTTCACTGTTTCTCTCCCTCTTTCGCGCGCGTGCTCTCTCTCCATCTTACGCTTTCGCTGTCTCTCTCTCTCTCTCTCTCTCTTGTACTTTCTTTCTCTCATGCTCTCTCTCTCTCTCCGTCTCTTGTACTTTTTTTTCTCTCATTCTCTTTCCCTCTCTCTTGCGCGCTTTCTCCTTTTCTCGTCCTTTCAGAACCCACGCCACGTTACCCAGAAACTAAGTGATGAGTCGTAGCACATTTGATTTCATTGCAAATTTTACGACCCGCAAAGTGTTTGCTTAATGCGAAACCTTTCCTAGCTACAAAGGCGCCTCGTTTTTTAAGTTTTATGTTCGACCGAAATGATTTCTTTTACGTCTCGCAAATTAGAGGCCCATACTACCCGCTTACGTGTGACGGGAGAAACGTCGTGGGGGGCGCTACTGGTTATACTTTGTATCAAGAGCGTATAAAGAAGGTATATTCTTTCTTAATACGCTCTTGTTTGTATGCTTATAGGTGTCAATAATAATAATGACCCTGATCGTTTCTCCTTGTACGTTAATTATTGGTATATTCTCGTGTATTCTCGTGTAATTCTCGTTTATATGTCTATCCTGTGAGCTCTTCTATGTTGATGAACTACGCTTATACGCAGTATTTCCGCGTGTATTGAATTGTTTTTAGGATAGTACAGCCTTTGCAGAAGGGTCGGATGCATGTAGTAGCATCGTTGCTGCTGGCTCAGCATCTATAGTAATGCCTACTACGCCTAGATTATTCAATGCAAATTTGTTAAGCATGCTTAAATCTGTCCGTTTGTCTGTCGGTCTGTCTGTCTGTCTGTCTGTCTGTCTGTCTGTCTGTCTGTCTGTCTGTCGGTCTGTCTGTCTGTCTGTCTGTCTGTCTGTCTGTCTGTCTGTCTGTCTGTCTGTCTGTCTGTCTGTCTGTCTGTCTGTCTGTCTGTCTGTTTGTCTGTCTGTCTGTCTGTTTGTCTGTCTCCCTGCCTGCCTGTCTGTCTGTCTGTCTGTCTGTCTGTCTGTCCGTCCGTCCGTCCGTCCGTCCGTCCGTCCGTCTGTCAGTCTCTCAGCCCGTCTTTCTATCAGTCAATCTATCTATCTGTCCGCTTCGTCGGCTCTCCTCGCGTGTGTGATTGGTGCATGTAGTCACGTGACGTTTTGCTGGCTTCCTTGCAGCGTGCGGACAACAGGGGCGACGCTTCCAGCAGAGGCAGCGCTCTGAGAACGAGCAGGACTACTCGGTCTTCTGCGGCATTGACGAGTACTCGTGTAGGAGCACGCCGTACATTTGCATACCCGCCGCGAGGTACCAGGATGGCTACATGGACTGCGCAGACGGCTCCGACGAGAGTGAGTGGAACTGTTCAACGTGCGCAGCGAACACATTCAGGATTCACAATTCAGAATGTTCATTCGCGCACGATGTTAACATGCTAGAATTTAACGCGGAAGAGCGGCATGTTTATTTGTTCATGATGATTACTAAAATAAGAACGCAGTGTATTTGTCACTTCTTTATTGAACAATGACAACGATTACCTGCAAAGATAGGAATAGCACCATTCAGATACATGTACACCAATAATATCATCTAATTACAACTATGATTTAGTGCGGCAGGTGCGTAATATATACAGGCAGTAATATATATTATTAGAATAAAGGGTTAAAGTGACAAAAATCTTGTAGATCATCAAAGTCGGCTGCGCTACGAGATTAGTTAACATAGAGACCGCTGAATTACAAATTTACCAATGCTAAAATTATTTAAATCATATAAATATATAAAAATTAATCATAAAAATTAATAAACGATTATGAGAGTAAGTTTGTTTTATGGCAGATGCTCGTATTTAGCCGGTTAGCAGCGGTTTCGTCAACCAGTCTAGTTTTTAAGCTGACTAATGTTGCATGAGTTTGTTACCAGATTGTTCCGTTCTATGAATGTTTCATACACGATTCTTTCAGCGGGAAACGATGAGAAAGAGTTACTAGTTTTTCATATGGTCTAAGAATATTTCTCTTGGCTCTCACTGAGAGTAAACAACCTGCTATATGGGAGGCTCCGGTGAATATAGCGCGCAGTGTTCGTTCGTGTATAGCGTTAATTTGAAAGCAAGCAATGCGCGTACGTAATTAACATGTAAGCTCGTGTTTGGCCTGCACTGGTTAGACCCAGAGATTGTAATATTAGACCTAGTTATTTCTAATACTCTGCACCAACGTGGTTTTGTGCGTGGCGAAGACTAATATAAGCATGCATTGCCCTATCTTCCATGAATTTGACCACCTACATATAATGATCATATAGGCAAAAAACAATTAATCAATTGCATGTCAAACAATCTACCCGTTTGAATCCCCCCCGCGACGTCACGTTACGGCATAAACTTTGTTTACCTCAGAGGGTACGGACAGCTAAATTGTTGGAATCTGGCCCATGAACTCTATTGTTCTTTGTAGATTGTGCATACTGTCGGTAACATGGCATACGAAGCTATGATTAATCCGCGAGCCCGAACGCTGCATCTGCGTTTGTATAATAAAATCATTGACGTTATTATTTAATTTAGGTGCACAAACAGTATGTTATCCATCCACGCATATAGGAGACACAGTGCTTCTATGTACGAGTTAATGCCACTCTGGCATGCGATCTCAATACAATTATAATTATTCACTATGTGGAATTGTAGTTCGACTGCATCCGGGTTTTAATCTAGTGGCATAACAGAGAAACAATTACGAAAATTTGTTTTCAATGGGGTTCTAACATCTACTTTAACTATGTCTAGTAATTATCTCCATATATCTTACGAACGCGTGCATAGCCGCACAAAGTTATTGACACGCCCAAAGTTAGAACAATCGATATTTATGCTTGTCGGTAGCAATCTCTGCATGTTTAATCATGTATTTGGTCAGGGAGGAAGATAATGGAACATTAGTATTCACATAATAATCACACAAACAAACAAACAACCTAACAACCTAACTAACTAACACACACACATACATATCTTTGCCCTGTATCCCCCTCTCTCATTGTCTATCTATATATTTTTCTCGCTCAGTTTATCTTTCTCCCTCCCTCCCTTTACTTCTACATTACTTTGATTGCCCTCTCTCCTTTATTATTCGCTCTCTCTCTCTCTCTCTCTCTCTCTCTCTCTCTCTCTCTCTCTCTCTCTCTCTCTCTCGCGCTCTTTCTCTCTCTGTCTCTCTCTCTCTCTATCTCTCTCTCTCTCTATCTATCTATATGTCTCTAACTCTCTCTATCTATCTCTCTTTCTCTATATATATATATATTTTTTTCTTTATCTATATCTCTGTCTCTCACTCTCTTTCTATCTATCTCTCTCTCTATCTATATCTATCTCTCTGTCTTTCACTCTCTCTCTCTCTCTCTCTCTCTCCCTCCTCCTCTCTCTCCTGCTATCTCTCCCTCTCTCTCCTCTCTTCTCGTCTTCCTCTCCTCTCTCTCCTCTCTCTTCTCTCTCCTCTCCGATCTCCGTCGCGTCTTATTTCGTCCTTTTATCTTTTCCTCCCCGTCGCGCGCGATCTCTCTCTCTATTTATCTATATATTTCTCTCCCTTCACGCGACAGGTCTCGCATGTGCCACTCTAGCCGGGAGCAAGGTGATGTCTGGGTGACACGAACTGAATAACAGCGGACCCTGTACGAGCTCAGGCACACCACACCCGCAACTGTCCAGTAAAAAGGGTCTCTCTACGCTTACCATCACTGCACTCCTCAACAGGCCAGCTGTGACCCACAGTAAGGGCGGGCTTGGGGTGACCGAACAAACTGACAACACGCAGCGCGCTATAGCGATTTCTTTTCAAAAAGGTGGAGGAATAGTTCAACATCGGCGGCGAACTGCCGCAATGAAAGCGAAACGTTAAGCGGCCCATTTATAAAGCCATGCAGGCGTTTTGTAATAATTTGATATACACACTCCACAGCGCGTGCTCGGCCCTGGATTCAATAGCACTCTGACGCAAGCAAAATTATCAATGATGCATTCAACTCTCAAACCACGAAATGCGCCGGTTATAACTTCAAGGTAATTGCTTTGTGGTTTATAATCGATTAATATAAATCAATAATCCGGATCATGCGTGCAATGGACAGCCATTCTTAATTCACGACTTAAGGGAACTTTGGACTCGCTAAATCTTATCTATCGTTCGTAGCGAGAAAATCGGTTCGTATGCGACACCCCCGCACGTGCTGTGATGCTATACTAATATATCTACTATTATATCTTAGACATGGCCGGTGCGCGTTCACTTTTCGGCACGTATCCCTTTTTATTACGCCTGCGCCCACCGCCGAAACACACTCTCAAACAATAGCTTCACGATATGATTCAATAAATTCCGTGCATGCTCTAACACCGAAGAGTGGTTTTTGTTGCTCGCCTGTTTGAACCGCATCCCAGCAGCTTTAGTAGGTGTATCTATTGCGGCTCAATCGCGGTCAGTTCACCTTTTCACGAATGATACCTGAGTATGCGGGAACTGCGGGAGCTATTATGCCCCCCCTGACTAAGCATCCTTTCTCTCACTCGTTCGCATTGATCAGATAGAGTGCTTCCCCGTTTTCGACCCCAATAACCTCTCAACAATAACAGATCTGTTTCTCTAACAGGGTGATAACCGATTTCTGGGTTCGGGCGCACCTATACAGTTAAAGCCGAGTTGCTCGGTGTCGCGCCACTTTAAGGCCCAAACATCTTGTTTCACTGACACCTTCGCCCTTTAACATTGGTTCCACTTCACAATTTGCCCATGAAATTGGCAATTTGACTGCGGAATACGCCTAGCCAGAGGTCGAACGCCTGTATATCGCACCTGACAAAGTAGGAAACCGGCGTCAAAATCGGATGTCAAACGCCTGCCGATGGAAAGTAAAAGTGCTAATATGTTTTTAATGTACAGCACTGTCTTGCTGCACAGCATATTAGTTCTATCGTACGGCGTTATTTAATTAATAGTCGGCGTGAGGCCAGTCTTGTTAGCATAGCACTTCTGTCGGGGAAGCCATGGTATACGCCCGCATTGCAAATCCGCGCGAAATATAGAGAGGATTCGACAATAGAGGGCGCCAGGGTACTACACAGGTATATGTTACGTGCAAATCTTCCGATCCTGCGCAACTCTACCGTTTGCGCACGCGCGCCAACTCTAGCCGATCCTGTGCGAATCTACCGATCGGCATACCTGTGCGGCAATCTCGACGATTGCGCCCGCGCATCTCTTAGATTGCGCGGCGCATACATATAGCATAAGTTACAGCAAAACTGTTGAACAGACCCACCGCTTGGCCGCATGCGCCAGTGATCACAACTGATCTATTATACAAACTATTATAAAATAATAATGTGTCAAATAGTTTCTATGTTACGTACTAATATCTATACATCAAGTGAGTGGACCCCATGATACATGTGACGCAACCAAACCCATGTGCAAACGAACGCATGCTGCAACATGCGCAGTATATAACTAGAACTTACTACCTAACCAAATTTTAAGACTTACGCCTTAGAAATGTTACTGTCCAATGAATTCTATTTCCCTATGTGGTATTTGAAATACGTTAAAGCGCATTAATCAATTGCCCATAGTTCTATTTTATCATAATTTTAGGAAGTCCCTTCAGCATAATTATTAAACATGTGTCGTCACAAAAATGGTTCGCTGCCCTCCTGTCCATGAACATAGTCAAGGTGACGAATGGCATTGGCACTGTTAATTGTCTGTGCACATCAAAGCAGCCATTTGTGATAACCCGTGCTTTTTTTAATTTAGTTACAGCGTGCTTCAATGCGTTCACTACGAATGCATAAATAAGATTTGGAAGTGCTTGATCACTTGCCATATCGACGCAAGGTAGAAATTAACAGACAATATTGGTATACGTAAATAGAACCCCTTGTTTAATTTGCAGCGTCATTACAGGCTGTAGCATCTATATTTATATGGTCACGTGAAGCGATAGTTGGACATTATCGACCTGACTTACTTTCTTAACCAATTCTTATTGCGTATAAACCATGACACCCAGTAATATTGGACCAAACTCACTAGTAGACGCATGTATCTTTGTGAGAGACAAGAAGAAATGCGTTTCAGGACAATCGAATTTGAATGAAGTATAAGAGTCACGCACCATTGCGCATTAATTCTTGATATTAACTCATTTTACCGCTGTCTAGTCTTCAGTAACTTCACAAACTATACACACCAGTTTCTATACATTCACTGTTCATTTCTCGACGATGTCTATTTAACCTTGTTACAGCAGGACAAGTGTTATTTAGAACATAGACGACTAACACATGCAATCAACGATTTTGCTTTTATTCAGAAAAAAGACATTCCAATCCCGGACTTGCCACGATTTCATTGGGCAGTCGCAAAGGCATTGTCATCGCTGAAGGGTAGAACTCACTCGATACAAATCTCTTTCCATCCCCCGCGAGAGTTTACCATTTTTAGCTGCCAGCCCTCTGACGGCCCATTCTCCGTTCACCTATCCACCCCGCGCGAATCCCCGGACAACAACGGCTCAAACGCCTCTCAATGCCAGGAGTCAATCGAAAAGACTTTCTACGACCCTACCACACAAGGAAACCAAACGACATCCCACTCGGGCGGGTAACATACAACCACACGCCAGCCCCCACAACCCACTGAACGACAGACCGACAAACCAGAGAAAAGGCCAACAACCACAAACAACGACACACACAACAACACGGCCGCGAACGAACAAGAACGACAACACCAACTAGCAACGCACGCAACGGTCGAACACCAGCACAACAACCAGCAGACGGCCAACCAACAACCACACCAACGACAAAACTTACAGCGCAAACAAGGCAAAACAACACACTTCAGGGCGGCGACCGACATTACTGCCTTTACATTCACCACGAAGAACACACCCCCTCGCCCTACCCCCACGCCCACGGCCCGGGACAAACAACGACAAGGGGCGAAAACTCCAACAGCCACAACCTTCACCCGACGTTCCAACTACAACAAGAGAAACTCCAACCACAACTACACAAAGACAAACTACAACTTCCAGCACAGCCAGTACGTACCAGGACGACTCCAGATGTTGATGATCAAATAATTTCAAAGACGTCAACCGCAGAATCCCCATCCCGATACGGTATAAACCACCCCATCTGGGGACGTCCCCCAGCGTCACTCAACGATTTGATCGGACACGCACCGCTTGGCCCAAATTGTCATCTTCCTACCATCCGCTTTCACAGGCACATTGCACAGCATTCCATCAAGCCCGACAACCAACCCAACACTACGAGAACCAACGACAGACCGACTAAGCGACGACCAGTCAGCCTTAGTTACGGGTGACGCCCACCGTCCGGGTTGAACGGTTACCGAAGTTAATAGGGACAGTTGTTTTCCACCGCGCAAACCCTCTTCACACCCGCACCTCTTCCCTCCGCTCACCACAGACCGCGCCCCACCGCTGTGTCCGCGGTGGTTCTGTCACCCGCGTCCCCGTTAATGTTAACACCGAGCCACACCACACAACACCACCGAACAACAGCCTACGGCGCAACCAACTCCGCACGCTACCCTACAGCAAGGTACCTTGGATGCAACCGGGCAGCAAACGGTCTATCCCAACCGCCACATTCCCGCCCGTTCGATCTGGTACCACCCCACGACCACTAGCGGACCAACCCCCACGACGCACAACAAGCTACGTAGAGCACGAGTAGTGTTCACGGTCAGCGGCCGACTTGATCATTCGCCCGTTTGACTGCGTTCAACCCAGAACCTGTTTCCCGGTACCAACCCCGACACCTTTTACTTCGCACATCTGTGTAGCTTACACAGAAGCCAGGGTGCGGTCTTCCACTGTCACGGTCCCCCGTTTAAATGGTAACCACCAGGCACCACCACAACAAGACCACCCCAACCAACCAAGCTCACTTAGGCCACACAACTCCGGAGTACTACAGAAGGTTAACATTGATGAACAAAAGCGTGACCAATAAAACGTATCTCATTCCCCAAACGCACGTCGCCCCATGCTCGTTCGTCCTGGTAACCCACCGGACAAAGACCACAACCCACGGACCGACAAGCAACTACCAGTACAACCAGGTAAGGTAGTCACCCCCCACCGCGGTACGCTCGCGCCTTGAACCAGTTAGACACACGGTCACCACATAGGACAGTCTCTGTCCAAACCCCCCCAACACCCTGTTCTATCCTCCGCACTCATTTCTGTTGGGTAACACAAAGGCCCCAGGGTCGGTGGCTTGTGTCACGGTCCCCCCGCTCTCCACCCACCCTCGTAACACCCCCCGCAATCCCACAACCAGCACCACCCCACAACAACACGCTAGGGCCCACACCACACTCCGCAGTACTACCAGGGAAACGGGTTACATTGATCTGAAACGGTCGGACCAAGTATCTATTCCCACAAAGCCGCCACATCCTTCGCCCGGTCGTCCTCTCCGGATGATCCCCACGGGACAAACCGCAAACACGACGCACAACAGATACTAGACCAACCGAGTAACGATAGTTACAATCGTTTTTAACACACCGCCTGTTGAACGTAGGCGAGGTCAATAGGAGCAGGGGTCCAACAGCCCCCGGACCCCACCCCTCTTCCCCACTCGGCACATCTGTCGGTAACACAAAGGCCCCAGCGGTCCGGGGGGTTTTCCACGGTCCGCCCGTTGAATGGGCCAACCCTAGCAACCACAACAACCAACCAGACAACGAACACCGCTAGGCCCACAAGCTCCGGAAGTACTACAGAAACGGTTACCATTGATGCAAAAACGGCTGCGACCAAGGATCTCATTCCCACGCAGCATCCGCCGATTTCGTCTGGTACCCACCCGGGACAAGCAACCCCAACCACCGACCCGGGACCCCAACACACTACAAGACAACCAGTAGTACGTTATCGTCGAGCGATTCGATACTTCCGCGTTTTTTGAGAGTCAACCAGACAGCCTGTGGGGGTACAAACCCGACCAACCTTTTTACTCCGGCACATCTCGTGGTACAACACAAAGCCCAGCGCTCCTCGTGTTTTGTCACGGTGCCCTGGTTAATGTTACCATAGGCAACCACAACCAACCCACCACAACAACAGCTAGCGCCTAGCTCACAACCTCCGAGTCACTAGCGGAAGGGTTACCCAGTGATGCAGAAAACCGGTGCCACCCAACAGATCTATCTGCCGAACGGCCACATCCCGGCCTTCCGTTCGTTCCTGCTACCCCACGGACAAGACCAACCCACCGACGACACACGACCTACTAGACGAACCCAGTTAGTAGTTTACGAACACCACCGCTGTTCGCAGTATGACGTCAATAGGGACAGTCGTTCCCCAAACCCGAACCACCATTGCACTCGTCACCATCTGTTCGGTAACACCCCCAAAGGCGGAGGGGCGGTCGTTTGTCAGCCGGTCCCACCGTTGAACTGTAAACACAGGCAACCCACACCACAACTAACCACAACCCCAACGCGCTAGTCTCAAACCAACTTCGAAGTACTACAGAACCGGTCTACATCTGATCCTGAACGGTTGCGGCGACCCAATGGCATCCTCTGCCTCAACGGCCCACATCCGCCCCGTTTCGCCCTGGTACGCCACCGGGACCAAGGACCACACCACGACGACAACAATACTAGCAAACCTAGTAGTAGTTAGCGGTCAGGCGCGATTTGATATTCGCGTTGAGCGTCAACCAAGTAACCGTTAGTACCAAACCCAACCACCTTCACTGCGCACATCTGTCGGTACACACGAGAGGGCCAGTTGTCGTCTTTGTCAGCGGCTCCCCCGTTAGATGTAGACACCAGCAACCACAACAACTACCACGAAGCATACAGCACTAGGCCAACAACTCGGAGTAACTACAGTAAGGTCTAACACCTCCCTCCCATGACCAATAGGTGGACAACGGAATCTATTCGCCAAACGCCCCACGTCCGCCCGTTCGTCCTGGTACCCCACGGACAAGACCAACCACGACGACAACAACTACTAGACAACCAGTAGTAGTTACGGTAACACCACCGCCTGTTGAAGTAGAAGTCAATAGGACAGTGGTTCCAACCCGACCACCTTTTACTCGCACATCTGTGGTAACACAAAGGCCAGGGTCGGTGTTTGTCACGGTCCCCGTTAATGTAACACCAGCAACCACAACAACCACCACAACAACAGCTAGGCCAACAACTCCGAGTACTACAGAAGGTTACATTGATGAAACGGTGACCAAGGATCTATTCCCAACGCCACATCCGCCCGTTCGTCCTGGTACACCACGGACAAGACCAACCACGACGACAACAACTACTAGACAACCAGTAGTAGTTACGGTCAGGCCGATTGATATTCGCGTTGAGGTCAACAGAACTGTGGTACCAACCCAACCACCTTTCACGCGCACCTCTGTGGTAACACAGAGGCCAGGACCCATTCTTATCACGCTGCCTGTTAAGATCCCGGGTACAACGACCACGACGACGACGACGACCACAACAACATCCGCACCGACGACCGAGGGCTACATTGAAGAGGTCGTGACCTTGGGAGTATTCCCTACTCCCCGACCACCCGTGCGCCCGCAGTCACCGCTAACACGCGTGACGATCGGCGGTACAACTGCAGGCCCAGGCAGGCCAGTGACTCCACGCGCGACAGAGGGTACGACGCAGGAAACCACGACGACAACCACGGAGACGCCGTCAACTATACCCACGACTACGCAGGAGGTTATTCTGCCGCCAATCGCTACCGTACGACCACAGGTACGAGAAACCTCAAAGCGATCTGCGTACGATTTCAATAAAATTATTAATGAACAGTAACGGAATTCAATGTTACAAACGCATGAAGACTAACAATCGAGCATGATTAATAATATTGATTTCATTAATTAATTTGAAAAAATTCATCACAATTCATCAAAAGGTTGTGCCATTTCGGACTTATTGTAGTCATAACTGCTTGGAATGTTTCTGACAACGGCTCCTTGATTCAGCACACGGCGTGGTGTGTCGTTGAAAAGCACTCCAATGCGCATGCTCATTGCTTCAGGTAATCGGCTGCACGACGAACGCCGACTGTCACGACGAGCTGAACGAATATTGTTTAGAACTACAGAGAACGGGTCGCTTCTACTGCACCTGTAAGCCAGGCTATTCGCGCACCGACCCCAAGGAGAGATGCATGGGTACGTACAGAACCCTAATCGCATCGTGGCTGCTCCTGGAAAAATACACACCGCAACTTGTAACGTTGCACATGTCACCAGGAGTAAATAATAATAGAATTATATTATTTTATTTTATAGAATAATATTATTATTCACTCCTGCATGATTTCATCAAATGCCATTATCATGTTTTTTTATTTTCTTCTTGTTATCATTCCTCGTTGTGAATTTCTCGTAACGCGTGCCATGTCATATTCTCCCTTATACACGGTATCTCGCGCATACACAGTAGTAAGCGGTAGGGTTAATGTCTGTGACGGGCGCTGGCTTTTATCTCTTGCAGGTGTCAGTCAGTACATAATACTACTGAAGGTCGTCAGACAGAACGTGACGCCACTAGTATACACGGCCGAACTCAGCAATCCCGACTCTCCTCATTACAATCGACTCATCTACGAGTACGAAATCGGGGTAAGTAATCATATGTATATATATATATACATGTGTGTGTGTGTGTGCGTGTGTGTGGGTGTGTGTGTGTGTGTGTGTGTTTCTCTCCGTCGCGCGCGCTCTCTCTCTTTTTATCTATATATTTCTCGATCTTTCTCCCTCCACGACAGTCTCAGCATGTGCACTCTACAGGGTAGCAAGGTGTATGTCTGGGTACACGAACTGTATAACAGCGGACCTGTACGAGCTAGCACCCACACCCGCAACTTCAGTAAAAGTGGTTCTCTACCTACCATCACTGCACTTTGCAGGCAGCTGTGTGTGACCCAGTAAGGGCGGCTGGGCCCGAACAATGACAACCAGGCGATTTCTTTCAAAAAAGTGGAGAATAGTTCAACATCGCGGCGAACTGCCGCATGAAAGCGAAAGTTAGCGGCCATTATAAAGCATGCAGGCGTTTTGTATAATTTATATACACACTCACAGCGCGTGGCTCGGCCCTGATTCAATAGCACTTGGCGCAAGCAAAATTATAATGATGCATTCAACGTTCAAACGAATGCGCCGGTTAATAATTAAGTTAATTGCTTGTGGTTTATAATCGATATATATAAATCAATAATCGATATGCGTGCATGATAGCCATTTATCACGATTAAGGAACTTGGAACGCTAAAACTATCTATCGTCGTAGGAGAAAAAATCGGTCGTATGCGCGTGCTGTGATGCTATATATATATATATACTAGACATGGCGGTGCGCGTTCACTTTTCGGCACGTATCCCTTTTATACGCCTGCGCCACCCCGAACAACTCTCAATAGATAGCTTACGATATGATTCAATAAAATTCCGTGCATGCTCAACACGAAGAGTGGTTTTGTTGCTCTGTTTGAACCGCATCCAGCAGCTATAGTAGGTATCTATGCGGCTATCGGTCATTCACCCTTCCCAATGATACCTGCGTATGCGGGGACTGGGAGCTTTATGCCCCCTGACTAGATCCCTCTCTCACTCTTGGCATTATCAGATAGAGTGCTCCCCGTTTTCGACAATAACTTCTAACAATAAATTGTTTCTCTAACATGAAAACCCGATTTCGGGTTCGGCAGCATATACAGTAAAGCGAGTTGCTCGTGTCGCGGCACTTTAAGGCAAACATCTTGTTTCACTGACACTTCTTTACATTGGTTCACTTCACAGTTTGCATGAAATGGCAATTTGACTGCGGAATACGCCTACCAGGGTCGAACGCCTGTATATCGCACGACAAAGTAGGAAATGGCGTCATCGACTGTCCAAATGCTGCCGATGAAAGTAAGTGCTATATGTTTTAAATAATGTGAAGCACTTCTCGCTGCAAGCATATAGTTTATTCGTAGGCGTTAGTTTATTAATAGTGGCGGGAGGCAGTCTTGTAGCATAGCACTTCTGTGGTAGCCATGGTACGCCGCCATGCAATCGGCGAAATATAGAGAGATCGATGATAGAGGGCGCCAGGTAACAGAGTCTATATGTTACGCGCAATCTTCCGATCTGCGCAATCTACCGATCGGCAGACTGTGCGGCAATCTCGAGATTGCGCAGCGCAATCTTTAGATTGCGCAGATCGGAAAATTGCGCGATACATATACATAAGTTACAGCAAAGCTGTTGAACAAGCCACCGCTTGTCCGCATGCGCAGTGATCACACTGATCTATATACAAACTATATATATAATAATGTGTCAAATAAGTTTCTATGTTCACGTATATATATATCAGTGAGTGACCCATGATAACCATGTGCCAACCACTCATGTGCCAAACAAGCTGCTGCACATGCGCAGTATATACTAGAATTACTACCTAACCAAATTTTAAGACTTACCTTAAAATGTTATTTTCCAATGAAATTCTATTTCTATGTGGTATTTGAAATATTAAAGCGCATTAATCAATTGCCATAGTTTTATTTTTTAATAATTTTAAAGAAGTCTTAGCATAATTATAAACATTGTCGGTCACAAAATGCGTGTCCATACATAGTCGATGACGAATGATCGCATTGTGTAATGTCTGTGCACATAAAAAGCAGCAATTTTGTAACTGTGCTTTTTAATTTTATTTACAGCGTGTTCAATGGTTCACTACGAATGCATAAATAGATTTGGAAGTGTTGATATGATATCGACGCAAGGTAAATAAAGACAATATTGCGTATACGTAATAGAACCTTGTTTAATTTGCAGCGTCATAAGCTGTAGCATATATATATATGTCACTGAAGCGATAATTGAATTATCGACTGACTACTTTTAACCATTATTGGTATAAACCATGCAGTAATATTGACAACTCCTAGTAGAGCATTATTTAGTGGAGAAAGAAGAAAAGGCGTTTCAAGAAATCGAATTTGATGAAGTATAAGCGTCACGCACCATTGCACATTAATTCTTGTATTAATTTTACGCTGTCTAGTTTCAGTAACTTTACAAGTACTATACCACAGTTTTATAGTTCACCGTCATTTTCTCGACGATGTCTATTACCTTGCTTACACAGACAAGGTGTTATTAGAACATAGACGACTAACACATGCATCAACGATTTTTCTTTTATTCAGAAAAAGACATTCATCCCGACTTCACGATTCATGGCAGTCGGCAAGCATTCATCGCTGAAGGTGGTAGAATCACGATAAATCTTCCATCCCCCGCGAGAGTTTACCATTTTAGCTGCCAGCCCTCTGACGAGCCCATTCCGTTCACCTATCCACCCCGCGAATCCCCTACAACAACGGCTCAAACGCCTCTAAATGCCAGAGTCGAATCGAAAGAGACTACGAACCCTACCACAAAGGAACCAACGACATCCACTCGGCGGGTAATCACCACACGCCAGCCACCCACAACCACTGAACGACAGACGACAACAAGAGAAAGGCCAACAACAACAACAACAACGACAACAACAACAACACGGCCGCGAACAACAAGAAGACAAACACCAACTACAACCACGCAACGGTCAACACCAACAACAACAGAGACGCCAACAACAACCACACAACGACAAACTACAGCCAGAACAAGGCAAACAACAACTAGGCGTCCCGACGAAATACTGTTTACATTCACACGAAGAACACCCTCGCCTACCACCACGCAGCGACAAACAACGACAAGGGAAACTCAAACCACAACTACACGACGCGCAACAGCAACTACAACAAGAGAAACTCCAACCACAACTACACGACGCGCAACAGCAACAACAACAAGAGAGACTCAAACCACAACTACACGACGCGCAACAGCAACA